CAAATCCGATAACCTCCCAAAACCGATACAGAACCCATCCACCATGCATACCGGTTTTGAGAGGGCCAACAGTATTTCATTCTAAATAAAAATTAAAAAAAATATATCTTTAATGATCTTTATTAGTTGCATATATGAAAATGATAATATTTTGCCTTATAATTAATAAAGCCTTTGATACTTAACTTCCTAATATTTGTTTTTTTTTTTTTAAAAAAAAAAGAAGTTTAAAAATATTTTCACTTCTGGTAAACTACATTGCATTCAACAGTTATCTTTAGTAGTGTTATTGAGATCATAATTGATTGTTTATATAGATTATAATAGCATTTTTTTATTGGTAAAGATCATTTAGCTATGGTTGCGGCTATGGTGTCAATCATATAATAGTAGTATTCTGAGTTGATAAATATTTTACTAATCAATTAGTTGCCAACTATAGTTGCAACTAACCGATTATTCACATCACATGGCATCATCAGATAATTAGCCAATCAAACCAAAGGAATTAATTCAGATTTGCTTAACTAGACAGAATTTTTCAGAATTGTGCTAGTTGAATGATTAATCGATTAGTTGTTTAAAATTTTTTCAAATCGACTAGTTGAAAAGTTGACAACTAGTTGATTTTTCAACTAATGATTTGAAACACTATGTGACAGTACTTTGGAAAACTACCCTAGCTATTTCATTTACATCAGCCAATAATATAACTTACTATGAGTCTATATTACCATATTTACTACTATATATTTACCAGTTCAAAACAATCATCATCACATGTGTAAACAAAAAATATTCAAATTATATTATTGACATTTTGTTATGGTACTTATGTTACTGCATCAAAAAAAAATATTTCATAATCAAATGCATCAAAAACGCAACTTTTGTATCACATAATGCATAAAAATTGAGTGTCCGTGGACAATTATTAAGCGAAATTTGCATGTATTTCACCATGGATATGTAGATCATAGCCAGTTAATTTGAAGTTGATTAATAACGATAATAATAAATTGGTAATGTAAAAGTCACATGAGGCATATAAATTACTATATTACCTGGCTTTAGACATTATTAAAAATTAATGATAACATTTCAAATAATATAAAATACACATAATTTTTATTAAAATTTAGGGTTAGGTCAGGGTTACGTAGAATGTTTTTATGGGTTAAGATAAGGATTAGTGTTAAGATCAAAATTTAGATTAACATAAGGTTTTTGGGATTCTGAACATTTTTATTTAAAACAGCATTAATTACTTTGGACAGTTCTTGAAATATAGCACCTATGGTTCAACACCATAGATGCATTTTATTTCTTAAAAAAATTCACGGCGACATACGCTACACAACGAAAATTCACTAATAAAATCACCATGTGTGACTCTTTATGGTTTCTCAAATTTAGACGACCTCCATATTAATTTGTAAAGAACAAAAATTCCCAGAATAGGAAGTTAATATCGATACGAGTAAAGTTTTGAAAGTAATGAATACAATTTACAGTGAACGTTTTTGACAAATGACAAAATATCGCAAAGTATAAACCAGTGATATTATCGTTTTAGATAATCGCGAGATGAGATACATGAACGAAGATTAGTAAATAATAGATATAATTTAGGAACATAAAAATTTCATGGACACCTATATATGATAAGATGTCGGGGTATCACCAGAAGTTTCACCATATGATTCATCTAATTTCCTTTTTTTCATGATACCACCATCAGATAAATCCACAACGGCAGGTCGTTTTATAGGAGATTTTTTCTGAGATATCATCCAATCCCAGATTTCAATTTCATCAACAATATCATTTAATATATCCTCCGCTACATATTCCATGTATCGTTCAGATATCGGACGCCATTTACGCACACTATCACCAGCATTCGAAGGTTTCTTTGATGTCGAAGAAGAAATTTCAAGTTCAGGATCGGGTGGTGGAGGATAACGAAAATGAGGGCCAAAATTTAAAGTACAAGTACCACCACGGAACATTGATACAGCAGGATAATAACCAAGGGAACCATCGTCTTCAGTCAAATCGTCATCATTAGTGTATTCATCAACGGTGGGGAAAAATGAAAACAAATTTTCAAAAGCGACACCTTGACATACACCATTTTTATAAACTATAATCTTTGAGCCAGGTAAGGAAGAAATTAAAGGAGGTTGAGAAGTTGAAAGAGGTTTTGCTTCGTCTTGCTTTTGTTGCCACCAGTACTTTTTTTCATTTTTCTTTTCAGGTAACTCCAATAGTTGGTTCATTTTATGAGTAGGTTTAAAATCTTTATATTCAAACATAGTATCACCTTTAAATAATATAGGAATTCTTTGCCTTTTTGGACTAATTGGTTGATAGCCAGGAATAACTTTTTTTAATGAAGGTAAACTTATATAAAGGCCAATAACATCACCAGTTTTGAAAGGGTCACCATAGGGATACAATCTTGATTGATGTATTTTATGACCAGTAAGATCTCTAAAACCGTAACTATAAGCATCAGAACCAACAGGGGAGTTACGATTTCCTACAAATTAAGAAAATAAACATTATAATTAGATAAAAATAAAAATAAAAAAATATATTATAATTAGATAAAAATAAAAAGAAAAAAATATTATTATAATTAAAAAATAAAATAAATAATACCTTCACGACGAGCCCAACCGACTCTGACGTGAGCAGCATCTTTTCCATCAATTTTTCCTTCACCACCTCGATCAATGAAAACTTCATAAAACCATTGACCTTCCTTAACAGAGCAATTAGCTCTAGCCATTGAGAAACCAAAATCAGTAGTAGTAGTTAACTGGTCGCCACTAATCCATACAGATAAGCTAGCATCTTCTTTAGAAAGACGTACACCATAAGGAGATATTTCCGAATTACGATATTGTATATATGGAAACAAATTATCAAGTTCACAAGGTAAATATTTGAAACCATGACGTAAATTATTCTGTTCACCAGATTGACCAAATTCAGTATTAGAAGAGCTTGCTTGAATGAGAGCAATTACGACATTTGAAGAATTTGATTGCATTGCAGGAGGAGTCATACTTTGCTCGGTAGTAATAAGAGGAGTTGATGGAAGTTTTGAAGATGAAGCATGAGAAGAATTGTCATGATAAGTTATACGATTATTATTATTATTAACGTCTTTATTCATTTTAGAAGGAGTTCGAGAGTGAGAAGTCTATTGAGAAAATAATATACTTAATTATAAAAGTTTGAAAAAAAAAAAACTTGAATGGAATAAGAGAATAAAGAATGATAGAAACCCCAAAATGGCCTGGTCTAATGTTCCATAAGTTTGGATCTACTAGACAAAAATTAGAACTTGCCGAACGATTATTTTCATCTTTTGCGACAAAAAGATCTTTGGTTGAATATAAACATGAACCAAGAGTAGCCCACCTATGTAATGAATAATATTAATGAAAAAAAATTAACAAAATTTAAAAAAAGATTAATAAAATTTAAAAAAGATAAAAAAAGATTAATAAAATTTAAAAAAAGTTTAATAAAATTTAAAAAAAGATTAATAAAATTTAAAAAAAGATTAATAAAATTTAAAAAAAGATTAATAACATTTAATAAGATTAATAATGATAAAAAAGATTTAATAACATTTAATATACATACCAAGTTGCAGTTCTAGACCGCTCAGTACATAAAGAAGACCAATTCTTGTCTACAAACGGACGTAAATGATCATTTTTATTAAAATAATAGCGAAATGGAGGCAAATTCACCGAGTTTGCAGATTGATATCGACTATCCCCCTTCGAGGCGTTATGATCGGTCATATGTTGTTGAAGCATAAGATTTGCAATCGCACATCCGCCGATTTCCTTCCAACCAGCTTGACATCGCTATATTAATAGTAAATTTAAGTTAAACAATAAATTTTTACGGTTAAATAAGAAGAATAAAAGTAGAAATACTTTAAAGCCTTCAACACCTGAAGGATTACATAGTTTACAATGAAATATGTAATTGGTAAAAATTGGAATAGTATTATCGACCGAAATTTGAATGCATTTTACATGAAACCAATTTAAACAATCTGTTAAGTCAAAAAATAAAGAATAAGTTTAAAGCGATCCGTTTAAAGTAATAGTAGTAAAAGCAAAGTAGAATACCAGAACACTGAAGAGACACTTCAGTTAAGTTTCTATCACCACCACAGTAACAGTATTGATGTTCTTTATTTACAGTATGCGTGTCATTCCAAGTAAGCTTTCTTGGATCATAAGACGATGACATAGCACAAATATCGTTTAGTTGAATAGAGGAAAAAAGTTAAGATGATTGGTCCATTTAATAATAACAATTTCTGAATTTATAATTTTTCAGATAGTCTAATTTGGGCGTACAATCCACAAATTTTATTACTTATCTATATATGCAACTTTAAATTAAAATAACGTGTCAAAATCGGTTACACTACGATTAAAAATTTTACGAATAAACATTTTATCAGATAATATTGCTAAATATAAAAATTCCATTTAAATAATTCCATTTAGATAATTCCATTTAGATAATTCCATTTAGATAATTCCATTTAGATTTCGAAAACGGATTTCTAGAGTCCAGATTCTTAATTATTATTCTAGAGGTGATATTTTTACATAAAATGTATCTAGAAGCCTAGAAGAACAGAAAATACAGAATAAACCAATTTCAAAATGAAAAATCGATTCAATATATGTTTTTAATAATAATGATAACAGATAATGATAATGTAAAACGGTTCTATATATCATTATATTAAAAACAAATATATAAGCTTAGTGATAATAATAATAACTACAGTATACGTATAGCAATTATTATTATGCCATACCGTAATTGTTTAAATTATTTCAAATTTAGATCAAAAAAGTTGCATTGGTTTTTATGAGGTTGATATTAATTGATATTAATTATTTGTGAAATTAACAAAATTATTACATGAATAAATTTTATAATAATTTATAATTAATAGATTTTAAGTATTTTGGCGTGCAACAATGGCAAACTTACTATACGTATCAGATATATAAGTGACAAATCGTGTGATCAATTTTTTAAAATGTTATTTATGCATGTGTTATTGTAAAAATTAGCCGTGGTTTTAATTTGACCGCAAAATTTATGAATTTTGGCGCCAAATTTCAATATAAAATCAATAGTTAAATTTGGGTAACTCTTTGCTGTATTGATGCCAAAATTCGTAAGCAATAGGATACCAATAGGATACCAATAGGATATGCTATCCTAGCTGTTTCAGTATTTTTCTATCATTATAGGTTATTTGAAATCATAATACCAAATTATGAAATGCCTTTTTATTTTAACCTGAATAACTAAAACCTAAATTCTAGATGACAGGTGTATATAAGAAATAGCTAATACAGTATCGATATGTAATTTATCCAACTTTAGTTAATCCTAAACTTTAAACGTTGTGCGATCATTTCGGATGTAACCTTTTTCCATTCGTGTCGTTCAGAGTCTTGTAGTACGCAGTGTTCGAAATTGTTGTTCTCAGAGTTCTCATGAGAAAACAATTATGAATTTGTGCACAGTATAAATTTTTTTACTGTTCACTATTAAAAAATTTTTTGTAAATAGTAAAACAATAAAAGTGTTCTCATCTACAATATAATGTGTATCTTCTAATATAGGCGAACATAAAACAATATTTTGAGAACACCTATATAGTTATTGTACTGTTCTCATGAAAATAGTTGAGCCTGAAATTTCAAACACCGGTAGCGGTAGTACATTTAAACAGTATAACCTCATTGTTTTCTAAAATTGTCGCTTCATTAACTTAATACTATTTCGGGCCACGGATCAACTGAACATAAATAATTTAAAAATAAATTTTAAATTTTAAATTACCTTCTATAGTTAAGTCGAGCACATGCTCGTCAAATATTTGGATCCTATTTAAATGAACCCCGTTTTCTTTCCTTTGCGAATATTTCAATTAATCCCAATCATGAAATTCTTACAATTAAGTTCACTTTTCGTTTTTGTACTTACTGCATTCAATTTTGTTTCCGCACAACAACTACCACCAAATATCTCTGTTACATGTTCTAACGAAATTATTAAGCTTTCTACAAGTACAGAACTTAATAGTTGTGCTTCGTTTGTCAAGTTAGCAGGATTGCAAAATAAAACAGCTGACCCAAAACAAACCTTGGATGCCTATTGTCCCGCACCTAAATGCAGTGATGAAAAAACTTCTGCCGATGCTGCTGAACTTAAATCTCAATGTTCTAATGATCTTACGAACCCTGAAGTATTTGCTATAAAAGAAATTCTTGTTTTCAATTCCCCGATAAAGGATTGTTTTTGTTTCAAAAACTCTACTACTGGCCAATATTGTTATTCGGATCCAAATAGTGCTTCGATATTCAATTTCATTAGTGGATTGGGTATTACTACTCCCACTGATATTAATTGTACCGATTGTAACAAAGCTATTTTAAATACATTTGTAAATTACTTTACTGCTCACCATGAAGCTCTCACCGAGTTACCACCGACGGTTAATGTAACAGCTTTTCAAACTGTTGTTGCAACAAAGTGTGGTCCTTCTTTCTTAGGTAAGATATAATTTTATTTTATTTATTTTAAATTTATTTTAAATTTATTTTAAATTTATTAATAAGCTTATTTTTAATTGCTATGTTTTTTCATTATATAGATGGTTCCATTCCTACTAGTGTAACTTCTACTTGTTCTATTTCTTCTACGTTTTCTTAACTGTTTATGTTATTTCATTCATTTAAATGCTGTCCCCGCTTATGAATTAAATTATAGTAATTATAAAGTATTAAATGTTCTAAAGTTCATAAAACTTATATTTAGCTATATATATAATTACGCGTTATTTATAATAAATGTTTAATCAATAACGCGATATCCATAAATTTTTGTATATGATTTATAAAGATAATTGTTTGATGGGCTCTTAATTTATATGCAAGTGATATGTTACAAATGATTGTTTG